CTGACAGACATACAGAATTGGTAGGAGTCTGTGTTGAGGTCTTGCTTCATGGGGAGGTTACTGTAGAAGATGATTTGGCTGAGCCCCAAAACCATAAAAAATGCTTTTCATCTCATCGACACGCCCAGCACTGGAACCGATGGGCAAAGGCACCCAAAGGTGTAATTATTCCATTCAACTATTTGTTACTTTGTGGATGCAGTTTTGGCAGGCATTTCAGAACGTGTTCAATATACTGTGACAAAAGTTAGCAAGATCAAAATACCCCATAAACCTCTTATAACTCCTGTGTATAGACTAACAATGCTAAGGGTGTTGGGGAAAAGAGCACAGGTAGAGAGAAAAGAAACTGTCAGGCAACTGCAGAGAAGGAATGTGAACTCCTCATATAAACGCTCCTCTGATTCTGAACCCTATCCATGCAGGTTTATGCACAGGAATGATTCAGGAAAGGCACGTGGGCCTCTTTCTAGTGCAGGGTAGCTTCCAGCAGGGACCACTCAGGACCTTCTGTGGTGAAGCCCAGCACCGCTTTAGAGGCCAGGCCTTCCCTGCAGTCCTCACCCTCCATCTAACCTTCAGGGGCTACGGTGGCTTCCTTGCCTCAATCAGTGCCAATGCCCACTCCGTTCGTGAGGTTCTTCTCAGCAAGGTTACACCTCCTACGTCACTCCCCCAGCACTGCTCTTCCCTGGGCTCAGACATCCAGGGTCTGCTCGGGAAAGGGCCCCCTGGAGATGAGTGGGCAAGGTTCAGAGACCCATCGGACGTTGCAGCACACAGGGGCTAGTAGTGGCAGGTCTTTCACAGCCATAGGCAGGAGGGTTGGGGAAAGACAGATTTACTGGAGACTGGAGAGAGCCAAAGCAATTGAGGGGGGACGGCCCCAGTGGTGGCTAGTTGCCGATGGTCCCGGTCACTGCACCAGCACCAGCACCACACAGAAAAAGAGAGAGCAGGAGCCACAGGTACCCCTGATTTCTCTCTCCTCCTGGCCTTCTGTTGACAACCCAAATCAAAGCCCGATGATCCAGAGAGCCCTGGATGAACATTCACCGAGGCAGCCTCCAAGGAACAGACTAGAACAGAAAAGGGGAGAGAGAACCTGGATGGACAAAGAGAGACTGACCAGCACAGCCGCCGGGGCACTTCATGTTTCCCATGCTCATCGCTTCTTTTAAAAATATGTTTTTATTTATTTTAAACAGAGAGATAGAAATATCAATGAGAGAGAAACATCGATGGGCTGCCTTCTGCATGCCCCCCACCCAGGCATGTGTCCCAACTGGGAATCAAACAGGTGACCTCTTGGTACATGGGTCAATGCTCAACCACTGAGAACACTGGCTGGGCCTTCACTTCTTTTTAACTGCCAGTCACTCTGTGGAAGCCAACAAGGGGGATTTTCCCATATTATCTATACTAATAAAAGCCTAGGTGGCCCTCACGTGCGACGTCGTCACAAGATGGCTGCCACAAGAAGGCCACCACAAGATGGCCACACGCACAGTGGAGGCGGGGCCCAGTGGCCGCTCTGCGCAGTAAGGGGGGGTCCTGTGGGTCCACATGGCATGGAGGCTGGTCCCAGCGGAGGAGGCAGGTCGCGGCAGGGGAGGACAGTTGTGGGCAATCAGGCCAGCAGGGGAGGGCAATTAGGCATCAATCAGGCTGGCAGGGGAGCGGTTAGGGGGTGATCAGGCTAGCAGGCAGGTGAGCTGTTAGGAGCCAGCGGTCCCGAATTGTGAGAGGGATGTCCGACTGCTGGTTTAGGTCCAATCCCATAGGGATCGGCCTAAACCGGCAGTCGGACATTCCCCAAGGGGTCCCCGATTGGAGAGGGTGCAGGCTGGGCTGAGGGACCCCCCCCCCCTGCATGAATTTCATGCACCGGGCCACTAGTTAATTCAATAAAGGTCTTAGAGTCATGGTTTTCCCCTTGGTTTGGCCTTCATCATAAAGGTGGCAAACAGAAAACCAAGCAGACTCCTGGCTCAATAATGTTCTGATGATGAAAGTACCCTTTAGACCAGTGCTACTAAGTGTGGTCCATGGACCGGCAGCATCAGCATCACCTGGGATCTGATAGAAATGTGGGTCCTTGGGACCCATTCATGCACCATTCAATCAAAGTCTCTAAGATCAGGTCCTTGGAATCTGTTGTTCAAGTCCTCCAGGGATTCTCACACATGCTAAAGGTTGAGAACTCCTCCTTTCGACCCCATCTTTGACAGCTTTAAGAAGAACAGCCCATGGATAACAGGTCAGAGACACTTACACTAAATGGAGTCTAGTCTATGGAGTCCCTGAATCTCTTTCAACTTCCTCACTGTGACCTTCAGCAAGATACCAGTGTCTGAGTCTAAGTTTTTGTACTTAATTGCTATCAAGATAACCAGTACCATCTCTTTCAGCTTTCCAAAGGGACTGAACTTGGGAACCCTCAGATCTGTCATTTCAGCCAGTGATGATGATGGTGGTGGTGATGGCAATGACAACGGCAGGAGCTCACACTTACTAAGCCATCTGGACATGACTAGCTCTGTCTTAATATCACTGCATATATTAATTTACTCAGTCCCACCCCTATGGGATGGGCTCTATCTTTGCTTCACAGATGGCGAGGTCCTGACCTAAAGAAAAGCTCAGTAACTTGCCCTTGAATCTGCAAAAGAAGGAAACACCTATCCCAAAGTTATGAAAACAGTGAAATAAAAATGTACGTGAATTGACGTTACTGAGTTTTTTAAGCTCCAACTTCATTAGATATTCAAGGTAAATTAGAATATGACTAAGTGGCTTTTTTTAAAGGAGGTATGTGCCAAGAGGAGGGGAACTGAGTGTTTCAATTGGTGCTATTTGAAGATTTATGATAAATTTAAGATAGTAGAAGACAACAAATGTTGATGCTAATTTGAGGCTAAAAACAGCTTTCATTGATGATAAGAAATAGCAACAAACCTCTTATCTAAAAGAAGATAAAACCACCTTGTAATATTTCCCCAGACACAGAGTTGGCTGCCACAAGTTCTCTTCTGACATCTCTCCCAGAATTCTGTTTATGGCCAGTTTCATCTTCTAGATACAGATTTATAGATATGTTCTTTTTACTCTTTTGATAGGACAGGTTCTTGATTTAATCAGATTCTTCCTGCATCTTCAAATGCTCTTCCTACTAATGCATTAGCTTCCCCCTCCCCAACTCAAGAGCCATGGTGAATGTTAAAGATCCATCTTTCCATTTGCTTAAGATATGCCCCCAAAGCATTCTGGAGGTTCATGGCATCTCAATGGAGAAAAACCACTGCTCTGACCTAGGTCAAAGAGCAGGAAAAAGAAACTGGTTCCCTCTCCCATCATTGATTTCCATGAGAGGATACATGAGAGACTCACAAGGTAATCTGACCTATTCCAGGTCACACAGTCATTAAGTAACAAACACAGAAAAAAGTTCTCCCTACTACATCGCTGCCAATTCTATTTTAATGGATAGAGGCATCATACTTCCCCTAATTTCTTTTTTTTTTTTAAATCCTCATCCAAGGATATTTTTTCCATTGATTTGTAGAGAGAGTGGAAGGGAGGGAGAGAGTGAGAATGAGAGCGAGAGCGAGAGCGAGAGAGAGAGAGAGAGAGAGAGAGAGAGAAAGAGAAGCATCAACGTGAGAGAGACACATCACTGGCTGCCTCTGCTTGCGCCTCAACCCAACCTGCAATAGAGATATGTGCCCTTGACTGGAAATCAAACGGGAGACCCTTGGGTCTGGCTGACACTCCAAGCACTGAGCAAAACTGGCCAGGGCTTCCCCTGGGTTCTAAAAGGTATCATCGTACATCTTCCCTACCTTTGTTTTCTACAAAAGATTTCATACCTCTATACAAATTCACAGCACACCATGGAGGAATAAGCCATTTGTAGTGTTTATTCATTACAGTCAACACTTAGTGTGTTAGTTTAAGCAGAAGTGATAAGCTATTCACTTCTCTCAAGAGGAAGAGGAGAGAGTAAAACAAATTTACAGTCAGCACCAAAGGCGTCAGTGTGGGGCAATCGCAAGTATTTGCCTGTGCGCCTCATAACAGCTACAGGTAAATGATTTGACAGAGTCAAATGCAGCCCAATGACAAAACCACCCACAGGGCTGCAGTTCAAGTTGCTAGACCAGTTAGGGGGGAAGTACGGGAAGACAAGCAGCTCGACTGCAGAGGCCTGGCTTTCCGGACCCCTCGACTTCAGCCGGGGCTTGCTGGGCCTTTATTAGAAACCTGAATTAGGTGCTCTCTGCAGGAACACAAACAGTGCGAAGGAAAGAAAAGCCTTTTACCCAGGGGGAAGCCAATGCCCGGTGAACAAAGCAGACAAAATAAAATGGTGAACTGAGTCACAGGTGAGATCTGCCAGCTCACCACCCAAAGTCTGGTGACTCAAAGGCAAGTCTGAATCTATTGTCATTTGAGCATATTCACAGGCCTTTGTTTTAAAAACGGAAATTTATATGGGAGGTTTAACTTTAAACTTGACTTTAAAAAAAATCTGTGAGGAAACCAATCATAAATTTTATATGTCTATATAATTTCACTGAAAAGAATTTTGGTTTCTCCCACTTTAATGTTACTCTGAGGCTATTTTCATGCTTTTTCAAGAAAAAAAATTTAAATTTATTCTCCTGACATTTAAATCAACGCCTAAGCAACATCAGTTTCATATCCCCTGTTAAAATCATCTTAATTCACATTTTTCACACTTCATAAATAGATATGGATTTTGTTTTAAAGCTGTGATTTACTTTGATATTTCTACAGATAAACTATGCAGCTAAATTTAGACACTAAAACATGACTCTACTCTCGTTCCTGCATTCTAAAACACCAAAAATTTTAAGACACACCATCACTAATAATAGGTTTACAGGGGGAAATATATTCCATTAAATGATCACATCATTGTAACATACATCCCTACTCCACACACACACAAAAAAAAAAGATAAGAGAGTCGGAGGTAAGACTGCAATCAGGAAATACATATTTTATTTAGAGAGAAGATACAGCAGGAGAGGTAGACCTTTTCATATGGAGCCTGTTTTCTCGGGTTCAAATCCTGGCTCCTCCACTTAAAGGATGATCTCAGGCAACTTTGCTTCTCTTCTCTGCATCTCAATTTCCTCTTTGGAATAAAAATAGACAATGAGAGAATCTGCCCCATTAAGGTTGTTATAAGGACTAAAAGAGTTAATGTTCTTAAAGTACTTCAAACAACTGGACCACAAATGTTGTATAAGGACTTGTTAAATAATAATAATTATCGGCACCACCACCACCTACCAGGGCTCACTAACCTTTAGAGGCGAACCATTTTCAATCCGACTAACCGACAAAATAATTCAAGGAAGTATTTACTGACAAGAGAATCATTGCTTGAGACTATGTTAGGTTTTTGAAGAAAAAGATTTTATAAAAAGTAAAATCATTATAGAACCACGTGCTGCTCTCCACAGCAGGGTCTGCAGTGACCCAGGCTTCACGGCCTCTAAAGGCCCCTGAAATGAGATGCAAAGTTACGTCTGCACGTGCATTTTCCTGGGGTGCTATCCTCTCGTTCTTCAAAAGGCCTGGGATTCAAATGTCAGGGCCATTCCGCTCAGGGTCCTCACACCACATTAGAAAATAAAGAAAGATCCCAGGGTTTAATGTTACAAAAGATATCTGTGTGTTCTCAATGACTTTATTCCAGTGTCAGCACTTCCCATTTCCTACTCTGAAGTTGTCAAGATATCAAGTCGCCATTAGAAGTGAAATTCTATTACCAGAAACTCCGCCCTCTGCTCTAGTCTCCCAGGCACCCCAGGAGAGGAGCCCGCTTGTTCATACATCTCATGTGCATTTGCAATGTGGACCTAGTCAGCTTCCAAACCTCCTGGGAAAACAATGGCTTCTGGGATGAGTCATCCTAAGCCTTCACGTTTCTTGTAAGAGGCTGGTATTGCTGGGAGATGATGACAGCTGCTGCTCAAGCCATTGCCAAACAATCTAAAGGGTGTCCCAAAATTCACGCAAGAAGTAATTTTGATAGAAAACACGGGTTTATAATTAAAAATTGTAAATTTTTTATTGATTCATCAATTATACAGTATAGGGTTATGTATGGAATAGCATACATAAAAACTGGATTATCATGTTGCGATAGCGAGCACCATTAACTGTTATTGCCTGAGCAGCTGCATTTTTGAAGAAGAATGGTCCAATGATGCCTCCAGCCCAAAATCCACACCAAACAGTGACACGTTGTGGATGCATTTGTTTCTCAACAATCACTCGTGGATTTTCTGAACCCCAAATGCGACAATTTTGTTGATTAACCAAGCCATCAAGATGAAAATGAGCCTCATCGAAATTCAGCCACATTTATGCAAAACGGTCATGGAAAATTTCAACAAAAGAGAGCGTATGTGCCAGCAAAACCGTGGAGGCCATTTACCCGATATGCTATTCCATACATAACCCTATACTGTATACTTTATGAATCAATAAAAAATTTACAATTCTTAATTATAAACCTGTGTTTTCTATCAAAATTACTTCTTGCGTGAATTTTGGGACACCCTTTATATACATAAAAGGCTAAGTGTCCGTCCAGCCGACCGGTAGCTATGACACGCACTGACCACCAGGGGGCAGACACTCAACCCAGGAGCTGCCATGACGTGCACTGGCCATTTAAAAATAAATGGCACCATGGACTTGGCGCTAACAAACCAGCACTTGACTTCCCCAAGTGGGACACAAGGCTCCACCACACCCTGGAGCGACACCCCACCAAATCTCAGCCAACGCTGCAAAGACTCCATGGCGCAAAATGTGGCCCCCAGCCCAGCCCAGCCCGGAAACAGTGGCTGTAGGAACCAAGTAATGATGTCATGTAGCAACACCCGGCTTCCTGTCCCTAGCAACTAGCATCCTTGGAGTATCTTCAGCCCAGGAACCCGACCTGCTTTATAGCCAGGTGCAAACATTTTACAATTTAACCAAATGTTTGGGAAGCATTTTCCCATGCCTCATCTCATTTGATACTCACAGAAGTCCTGGAGTAGGTAGATAGGAGACTCGGTGGAATCCTATTTTCTTTTCATTAGCAAGATGCGAATAGTGATATTAAAATATTTCTTCTACTTAATTTCCTTTCAATGTGCACGAATTCGTGCACCAGGACACTAATGTGCAAGAAAGACCGCTCCTGGAAGCCATTACTGAAGGCACTTGAAAGCAAGCCAGCTGGGTTTTACACTAAGCCTTGGAATGTCCGGTGCATCCACTGTTTCAATCAACCATGTGTTATAATTATGTCAAAGTCTTAGATTACATGGTATTGTGGAAAAGACACAGATTTTGGTATTAGACAGTCCTGAGCTCCCTTCTGCCTCTCCTACTTCCTTGCTGGGTGACCATGAAAAAGTTACTTAATTTCTCTGGAATGTAATTTCCTCCGTGTAGGGGGCTATTGAAGTTTCAATCTAATAAAGACATGCCAGTGTCCACAATGGCGTCTGCGGACTTTCCCTTTTCCATATCCATTTATGAATGGTTTTTCATAACACTAAATTACCGCAAAAAGTTAGGTCATTGATTTTAACTATTTTACCTTCAGAGAAAATTGTGTAACTTCTCACAAACTACTTCCAGATCACATATTACTGAAATTATCGTATCCCTAACAAGGGTTATTATGCAGATACTGTATTAAAGCAAAAAAGAAACCTCAAAGTCATCACCAATGACTTACCTCCCACCTTCCCACCTATTTTTAGCTACACAAGTTACCAATTACTGCCAATTTCAGAGATGGTGCAAGTGAGAAACTCAGACTATTATGTATGGCACCATTATTTAGGCACCACCTTAAATACTCACTATCTGTTAGAATATCCCAATTTTTAAAAACATAGAATCTGACGTTGCATACGAAAGCAAAAAAAATTTTTGTGCCTAGCTTCCCATAAATATGTCTATGAAAGCCCATTCCCCTAGAATAAGCACCCAGCTGGGGAAGGAAAAGTTTAAGCTCCAGTGTGCCCCAAACTTTCTATGTCTTATCTCTATTCTTGGAAAACCTGACCCATCGTGCATCTCATTACAGAAGAAGAAACAGGCTTACAGAGCTCAGAGAATGTCATGCAAGGATACAGAGCGATGGCACTGGGATTCAAGGCCTATTCTGAAGCCGTAACCCAGGCTCTTTCCCTCTGGTCTAATTAAGCAGCCACCGCCTGTGTGAGTGTCAGAAGGAAGAGAAAGAAATGAGTAAGTACAGCATGAACTTGCCATTGAGTGCCTTTGCTAAAATTCACATGAAATTAAAAGAGAATAAATGAATCTATAATTTCTTTTCCTTCTCCCCAACTAAATATTTTTAGAGGTGGCATCCATGGTGTTTACTTTATTTGTAGCCATGGTAACATCTATGTATATAAAAGCCTAAGCGACTGTTAGGACCAAATTACCGGTCACTATGACGTGCAATGACCACCAGGGGGCAGATGCTCAACGGAGGAGCGGCCCCCTGGTGGTCAGTGCGCTCCCACAGCAGGAGCGCCACTCAGCCAGAAGCCAGGCTCACAGCTGGCGAGCGTAGCTGCAGCGGTGGGAGCCTCTCCCACCTCCATGGCAGTGCTACTGGGCGGGAGCAGCAGCGGCAGGTGCAGTGGGGCCTAGAGCAGAGCTGCGCCTGGCCCTGGCTGGGGCTCCTCCCTGGCTGCCTGCCGCTTCGTCACTGCTACATCCCTTGGCAGTCCGACATCCCTCGAGGGGTCCCGGATTGCGAGAGGGCAGAGGCCAGGCTGAGGGACCCCACCCATGCACAAATCCGGGCCTCTAGTAGTTGTATAATACTGTCAAGGCTCAAGCTGGTAGATAGTCAGTGCTTCTGAAATAATATCATCATGTGTCCCTCATGTCTGATCTGACTCACCTTCCCTGGAAGATGCCAGCCTGCCTTAGTGACCTTATCTAAACAGGTAAATTCATAAGCTTTTTGGATTGACTTTGATTAAGGTGGGCCTGGCTGATTTTTGCTTATGACACACGGAATGCTACTTTTAATTTTAGTATTAGTTACCATTCACCTATGACCACAATATGTCCTCCCCCTCCCTGCCTGCCCTCACACCCAGTAGGTCTATCCCCAGCGTTTGTGTGCTCAAATGAAAAGAACATTAATGTCTGGCATTACCAATGGCATGACCTGCCCCTCTCGGGGTGACCGGGTGGTAGCAGCAGGTACTCTAAGGCTATGGCAGTTCAGAGTAAATATACCCTTTGCCCTCAGTGCATTTGAGGAAAACCAGAGTCAATTCAGAGCACGGACTATGGAACCAGAATGGCTGGATTCAAACCTCCCTCCTCCCACCCACTCTGTGACCTTAGGCAAGTTGCATGTTTCCCTTCCCTCATCTGTAGAATGCAAATAACAGCATCTAGAATGCAACTCACAGACTTGGTGAGAGGGTTCGAAGAAGTTTATATCAGAACACGCATGGCACCGCAGTTAAGTGTCATGAAGTGTCAGCCATTGCTTTTAATTTAAATACAAAGAATAAAGTACATGCTTTGCCTGGAAGATCTGTGTATAACATGACTATGAGTGGGGCCTGCCGGATAACTGGAGCAGCCAGTGTTTCTCAATCAGCAAAGCCTTACTTCTGGCAGAGGAGGGATGAAGTCCCAGGTAACGCGCTTCACCCTGGACAGGGCGATAGGCTACCTTGTTCCTCTTGGAGAGGGAATCTTCCGGGTAGTGACGCAGATGGAAATGAGAGGATGTCAGCACAGAGCCAGCAGCAGTTCGGCCAGTCTCTCCAGCCTCACCAGCCAGGTCAGGGACCCTGCCCGAGGGAAGGGTGGACGGGGAAGAGGTCGGGGAGAGAAGCCAGTCCAAAGCCTGAGAATCACGGCTGGGCTTTGGGAACAACGTGGCACATCGGTGAGCCCTCTGGCTGCTGGAAATGAACAGATTTCCAGGAGCTGAAGAAGGTGGCAGAGCACCGCAGAAAAGATCTCAGAGGCCAAAGCTCAGAAAAAGTCAGAGCCAAGGCTCTGGCAGGAAATACAGACGGAGGGGATGGTCATCACCAGCTATTTTATTAGAGGGAGAAAATGACGGTCTTAGACACAGCCTGATGAGAAGGATTTAAAAGAAACAAACACTTAAGATGAAAGGCTTAAGACCAAGGTAAAAATAATATAACTACTAAGAGGAGCAAAAATCAGGGGAGATAAATGGTTTTCAGTAAAAAGAATTAGTTCTCCTTGGGAAAATGGCTGACTTCAGGTCTGAAGCCCGGAATGGACAAGATAAGCTTCGAATATCTTGTACCAGAAAGCAAGAAAGTATCAGGCACCAGTGGGGCCTTCGTAACAGTATACAGGAGACGAGGGCAAATTGAGCATCAGAAAGAATATTGACTGCAATGGACTGAAGCAAATACATTAAGATCCACAGTTCTTAATGATACATTAAAAAGAGAAACATTGATTATCATGGGAGGTTGTTAGAGCACAATCATTATTCAGAAAATTGATTAAAGGAAAAAAAATTAAGCCTTTTCCCTGTCTTTCCTGCAGAATCTAAATTTCAGGAGACTCAGATAGTCCATGAGGGTGAGTTTTTTACAGACAGAATTCCAATTAATAAATGCAGGAGGAGTGATACAAAAAGGACAAGAAATAACATGTGCTGGTGAGGATGTGGCATGTGGAAGAAAGGGAACCCTTGTGCACTGTTAATGGGAATGTAAATTGGTGCAGCAACTATGGAAAACAATAAGGAAGTTCCTCAAAAAAATTAAAAATAGAACTGGCATAGGATCCAGCAACTCCACTTCTAGGTATCTTTCTCAAAAACAAAAACACTAACTTGCACCCCCATGTCCACTGCAGCATTATTTACAATAGCCAAGACATGGAAACAACCTAAATGTCCATAAATGGATGAATAAAGAAAATGTGGTATATATACAATGGACTATCATTTAGCCATTTAAAAAGAATGAAATCTTGCCATTTGCAACAACATAGATGGAACTTCAGGGTATTAGGCTAAGTGAAATGAGTCAGGCAGAAAAAGACATATGATCTCATTATATGTGGAATCTAAAACACATACACACGCGTGCGTGCACACACACACACACACACACACACACAAAACCTCACATACAGAGAACAAACTGCTGGCTGCCAGAGGTGGAGGTTTGGAGGGTGCATGTGGGGTGAGCAAAATGGGTGAAGGAAGTCAAAGGTACAAACTTCTTGTTATAAAAACAAATGTCAGGGGATATGATGCACAGCCTGGCAACTATTGTTAATAATACTGTATTGCATATTTGAAAGTTTCTAAGAGAGTAAATCTTAAAAGTTCTCGTCACAAGAAAAAAAATCCTGCAACTATGTGTGGTGATGGATGTTAACGAGACTTATTGTGGTGACCATTTCACAGTATCTACAAATATTGAACCGTTATGTTCTACACCTGAAATTAATATAATGTTATATGTCAACTACATCAATAAAAACAATAAACATTTTTTAAAAGAGGAATCATAGATTTAGATCTAGGCTACAATCATCTATGATGCTAAAATGATTAGGTGAAAGGTTGAAAGGTAAGCTGACTCTACCTCAATCCGATAATCAATCTTAACATCTCAAAAAGAACCATCTAGACATCACGCATCTTGTGATGTGATGCAATGGATTTTACGAAGCACCACCTACGAAGGATGCTTGCCTTTGAACTTGGATCTAATCCAGCCTCTCCATCTAACTGCCAGCTTACAGGAGACATGGAGAATAGAGAAACAAGTGAAACAACACCTTGGTAAGAAATCAGCCCAGAAAATGGGACATTCTACTGGGAAAATGACCCACTCTCCCCAACAAATCAATGGCATGAAAAACGAGGCAGGGGATAGGGAACGACAAATAAAATATTTCAACACCTAAGGACCTTATTTTGTTCCTGATTCCAACAAATCATAAGTAAAAAAAAATCTGAAAATGGGAATTATATTAAGGATTATTGTTAACATTTTTGTGTATTAAAAAAGGCACAGAAGTTGTTTCTTTAAAGGGGAAATGTCCTTATCAGTGATATAAACTGAAACATTTATGAGTGAGATAACATAATATTTTAGATTTTACCTTAAAATACACAAGCCTCCACAAAAAAAAGTGGAGAAAGAGGAAATAAATGAAACAAGACTGGCAAATGTTAATAACTATTGAAGCCTGGGTGCTTATTATACTAATTTTTCATAATCTCAACAAATGAATAAAGGGTTTAGGTGGGAATTCAAGCTGTGCCTTATCTTACCACTAATTTTTAAGCAGTAGCTAGGGTCAAAATTTGGTCATTCCCCACTTAGCCTAAAGAGGTGCAAAGAGTTTTAACCAGTGTGCATTTGGAATCCAAAATCTGCAGTATTAACCAAATGCCAGCTTGGTTTTCCCAGGAAGAGATTGCCTACAAGGCACTCTGGTTGGGCAACACAACCCCCGAAGAGCTTACAGGATGACAGCTGCTATCAGATTTGTGAGAGCCCAAGGCAGCATGGACAAAAGCTACCAGATCCTCAACGAGATCTTGGTCAATGCAGAAACTGCAAACTTTCATACCAATTTGTGCAATGCACAGAGCTGCTTTTTATTTTTTTTAAACCAGGGGTAATGATTTCATGTTAACGTGTCCGTACAATCACTCAGCTGTAATCTGGAGGTGCAGCCCATGAGATACAAAACAAAAGGTCCAGAGAAGATATAGCCATGAGTCGTTTGCATTAGCCTCACTGCCCTAAACCAAGAAGCTAATCAAATTACCTCAGATGCTCACAAGTCGCCAACTGGTTTGGTACAGATAGTTCTTCAAAGCACTCCTGTTATGGACTGAATGTGTGTCTCCTCAAAGTCCATAACGTGAAGACCTAAACCCAATGTGATAGTATTTGGAGATGGAGTCGGGGGGCGGAGGTGGGGTTAGACTAGGTCATGAGGGTGGGGCCTCTGTGATGGAATTAGTGGGCTTATAAGGAAAGGAAGAGAGAGATTCTCTCTCTCCATGTGCATGAGGAATGGCCATGTGAGGACGCAGGGAGGAGGCAGCTATCTACAAGCCTATGAAGAGAGCTCTGACCAGAAACCAAATCAGCTGGCACCTCGATCATGGACTTCCCAGCATCCAGACTGTGAGAAAATACATTTCTGCTGCTTAAGCCACCCAGTCTAGGGCACTTCGTCATGGCAGCCTGAGCAGACTAATACCGGCACACATTTCACCCATTCTTCTTTCTTTCACATTCCTACACTTTCGTTATGGGAGGTTCCAAAGCCAAAGGAGGGGAAGACCGGTGAAAAGTATGAGTTTCCAACCACATTTGACAATCTTCCCCCAATAAGAAACTGGCCACGCACCTATGAAATGTGTTTGGAATGTCTCAAAGAGAATACAATATCAGAACTGAAGAAAGGTTAATAAAGTATATATTGCTTGAAGTAACCATATTCAGAATAATTGAGAAGATAAGTGTAAACTTGCATATTGGCAAGGCACACGGCATCACCGCAGGCGGCGAGAACCACTGGCTCCGTGCAGATGAACACTAAGACCTGTTTACACAAAAGCCTCGGCATTCCCTTCCCAGCCTGCCTGGCTGCCCGCGTGCCTCCGTGCGCTGTGCCACGAAGAAGTAACTGTCAGGATAACAGGAGCGCGATCTGACCTACTTTTCCCTGGATTCCTGCAAAGTCTACGCTCTGGTTCTTGTCACATCTTTGGGACACAGCTCCTCGCATTCTTTGCAGGCAATCCCCTATGCTACACGGGAGGTCACTTGTGGGCAATACTTAAACTCCCCTGCTCAGCCCCGCCAGCATGGCTCAGTGGTTGACCCGTTGACCTATGAACCAGGAGGTCCTGGTTCAATTCCCGGTCAGGGTACATGCCCGGGGTTGTGGGCATGATGCCCAGTGTGGGGCGTGCAGGAGGCAGCCGATCAGTGATTTGCTCTTATCACTGATGTTTCTATCTGTCTCTCCCTCTCCCTTCCTCTCCGAAATATATATATATATATATTTTATAAAAATGCCTCTGGTCATGAACTCAAAGACACCTACTACGCCCAGCTAATCCTCAGACATCCTTCTGAGGTAGACCATGGACAGCCATCCCACCGTGGGAAAGGAAATGCCTAAGAAAGGAAGAACAGCCTAGAGAGGTTGGAGACCTGCGTGAATTCAGACCCTCCTCGACCCACAGGAAGCCACAGCAGAACCAGTGATTCTCCCTGGCGCTCAAGCTTCCACCAGCCGCCCTGTGCAAGAGCTAAAAGTCCCCACAGATGTCTTTCTTTCAAAGGCAGACAGCCAAGACTTCGTTTAAGTTCTAGCCCCCAAATCTACCTTGTTGCAGCTTCTCAGTAAAGCCTGATTAATAATGACACATTTTTTTTAAAAGACTGAGTAGAACCCACCAACGGTGCCCCGAAGCCTGGTGAGCAGGGAGACCTGAGGGCCAGCAGGTGCTGAGCCTCCCGAGTGGCCAGTGGGAGACGCCAGGAGGTCAGCAGGCCATTGCTTCTCTCGCACACAAAACATGTCTGACTGTCTGCCCTGCTTGGGCCATTAGATGCTCTTAAACCCCAACGAGGGACACTCACACACACACACAAAATCATATCTGAACACACCGTCAGAAAGTATTAAGATTTAAGATTTGGGGGGCGTGCACCCTCCTGTGCAAGGGGGCGTCGCCGAGCGCTAAGAGCTGGAGATTCCGAAGCCAGGGAGCTAGCAGCTCCTTCGGTAACGGTTAACGTCCCACTCCAGGGTCCCCCCACGGTCCCGGTGGCAGCCAGAACCAGTCCCGATGCCCAGAGCTTGCAACGGGGCGTCCCAAACAAGCACACACGTCCCCGCCTCCTGCAAACTGGGACCCCGCACGTGGGCCCCGATGCTGCTGTCTGGACGGGGCTGGCCGCTGCGAGGCACCGGCCACCTGCAGCCTCCCGTGGGGAGAGGCAGCGGCCCTCTTCCGGCGGCGCGGGTCGGGGTCCGGGTCCGGGTCCGGGTCGGGCGGCGGGAACCCAGGTGTGCTTGGGTTCAGTCAGGTGCATCTGGGGGGAGGGGAACCGCCGCTCACCGGGGCCCCCTACGACCTCGCCGGCGCGTCCCAGGACCTCTTCTGCCGACTCCCGCACAAGGTGGCTCCTTTCCGCCGCCCCCCAACTTCCAGACGCCCGCCGAGCCCTCCCGAGGGTGGGCGCTGGGCACCACGTGCGCGGCCGCCCTTGCCCACTCGG